CACCCACCTTAGGGCCACCTCCTGCCCCTGGGACAGGACCAGCGTCCCCTTGGCGAGGAAGAAGAGGAAGACCTTGCAAGCGTTGAGGGGTAACCAGGAGCAGAGGAAGGCTGCGACGATGGTGACGATGGCGCGGTGGGAACGCCGGACACCTCTGCCCAGCCGGACGTGACGCTGGAGCCGGCAGTAGATGGAGCAGTAGCAGAAGGAGATGACCCCCAAGGGCAGGAGGAAGGTGAGGAAGACCATGGCCAGGCTGAAGTCCTCTCCGTCTTCATCCCAGCAGTCGTCCCCATCCAGCCGCCGGTACAGCAGGGATGGGGCACCCAGGAGGAGGGAGACGATCCAGATGACCCCGCAGGTGACACGGACGTGCCTTTGGGAACCCAGCATCTTGGTGTCCAGCACCTTCCTGATGACCAGGTAGCGCTCCACGCTGAGGGCAGTGAGGAAGAGGATGCTGGAGCAGCGGTTGACGGCGATGGCGTAGCTGCTGACCTTGCAGAGCCCTTCGCCCCGCAGCCAGCGGTTCCCCCCAGCCAGCGGTTCCCCCGCGCCCCTGCCGCCACCCAGAAGGGCAACGTGCAGACGAAGATGACGTCGGCCACCGCCAGGTTCAGGATGAAGGTGTCCACCATCCTCTTCCCCCCGCTCTTCTTGGCCATCAGCACGATGACAAAGAGGTTCCCCACGAGGCCGAGGAGGAAGATGAAGGAGTAGAGGACGGGGATGAAGACGGTGGTGAAGAAGACCTCCCAGGTGGAGAAGACCTCTTGATTCCCCGTCACGTTGGTCACCGGTGGGTAATCGTAGTCGGCCGAAGCGGTAAACTCCTCGGGAGCCATGGCGGTGGCCGGGTGCCCTCCCCGGTGCCCAGGGCGGTGCTCGCCGCGCCCGGCGGTTGGGTTGTTGATCTGAGATTTGCTCAAAAACAGCGTCTCGCACTTCCTTCCCAACGGGGCAAGGGCTGCGGGGTGGAAGGGGCAGGAGGTGAAGCGCGTTCAATTTTGGAAACAGAAAACAAAAAACCAAACAACCCACAACGAGAAGAAAGAAACACATCCCCCCCCCCAAAAAAAAAAAAAA